GGGGTTGTCTGTGGCGATTTGCTCACAATAAAGAGCAATTGTAGGGCACTGTTGAATAATTAGGGCTTAAGTCTCTTTCTATAATTGTCTCATGGGTATTTTAAGGTAAATTTGATTTCAGTTCAGTTCAGTCGCTCAGTCGTGTCCGACTCTTTGCGACCCCATGAACCATACCACGCCAGGCCTCCCTGTCCATCACCAACTACCAGAATTCACCCAAATCCATGTCCAAATTTGATTTAGATTTTTGCAATTGTAGTAATAGGGCAAGAGGCATAAATATTAGGGTATTAATAAAAAATTTTAATATTAAATGTTATTTTGAAAGGTTATTCATTTTAATAGAGTATAAAAATAAGGGAAACATTGAAGCCATCATTTATTTCACAGGAGTAAGATATGCTAATATGGGCTGGATTAAAATAACTTCTTTGAGTAAAGAGTAACAGATGTAAGGATATAGTTTGTATTTAGGAATGGAAAAGTAGTCTGACCTGCCATTAGTAACTTTCACTGTCTCCTCTTTGGTAGGACAGGCAGAGTGAGGTAGGGGTGGTGTCACTGTGAACATTAGGGACCATCCTTCTGTGTCTGTCACCGAAAGTGCATCTCAGAGAGTCAGATTCTGCAGATCTGAGGTGAGGTTCAGAAGCTCCCCCAGGAATTCTGAATCCCTTCAACGAGATCTGAGTCAGAGCAGGAGTCTGTGGTGATAACCTTATCCTCCCCTTCCTCTTGGACACCAAGGCTTTGAGGGAGCATGAAGAGATGCCTGGGGAACTCAGGAGAGCAGGGTTCTGCCAGTTGGGTCCTCCCCGTGGGGTTAGAGGTCAGGAGTGAGGTGGTGCCCAGAAGTCATTTCCACATGACTTGAGCTGCAGTGGTCAAGGGCAGAGACTGCAGAAGTCAGTGATAACGGATGAAGACCCTGTTCCAGTAATCGAATCACTGCTGTGTGGACGCTGACATAACTTAGGTGTGTGTTCTGGGTTCTGCCTTGCAGGTGGCGCATAAGCACCAGGGGATGTCCAGACCCGGTCGCCCTCAGCACAAGGCTAGGATGGCAGAAGCGTGAGGGTTGTTTGCTGTTCATATCTGAGCAAAACTCAGCAAGATACTCTTAGCTAGGAGACAGATTTTGTGTCAATGTAAGTTTTTAGGGACCTTTACCAGAATTGTTCTTTTTTAATCCCTATGTAGAAGTCAGAGACCAAATTGCTGTAGTACTAGCAGGTGTGCTCTTTTTGGAATAGAACCTGTTGGTAAGAACAGTTTAATTGGGCTCACTTGGAGTATTTTTCTTTGGTCTTTTAAGTTATTCTTTTACTTTTATCCAGAACTTGGATTTCTATTTTAATAAACTTGAATATTATGTAATAGTATAGTCATTAAAAATGCAAACTTGAAATGCATTACAAAACTGTTAATGTTTTATTTTCTGCTTAGTATAAGGGCAGAATATGAGTTTATAATTCTGGAAGCCCTTTTTGGGGACGTTCAACAGGAATTTTTGAAATTTAAGGTTTTAGTGTAAAGAACAATTTAACTGTCTATCTCCCTCTGCAGAAATGGCAGATAATGGGAGATGTTCCTCATCTTGTTACGAGCCCTGTTTGGATACCCCAGCTGTTTTAAAGTGAGTAAAATTCCAACATTGAGGCTGGACTTGATTATACTATTTTCCTGGAATGTGTTTTATTGACTCACTGCTTCAGCAGCTCCAGCCCCACCTCATGCCGGATTAGTTTTGAGCTGTACTAAAAACATAGAGATTTGTTGAAAGATTTTACAGATGTCTGGAGTTTGGTAGAATTATTATCAAAATTAAGTTTTCAGGACTTCCCTATGGTCCAGTGGCCCTGACTCCAGGCTCCCAAAGCAGGGGGCCCAGGTTCAATCCCTGGTCAGGGAACTAGCTCCCACGTGCCACAACTAAAGATCCTACATGCCACAACTAAGACCCGGTGCAGCAAAATAAATAAAAATAAATATTAAAAAAACTAAAGTTTTCTGATTAGTGGGTGATTTTATGACAGCTTCAAGGTAAGACTATTTTGTCTTGCCATTTTGAAGGAGTGTACTTTGGCAGCACTGTGACCAAGTCCCATTATGTGTAAGAATAAATGGGATGTTTAATTTTTCTATGTTTAAAGAGTTCACACAAGTAGAATTTAAAATATGCAAAACCTCAGTTATACTATCTCATAGTCAGACCTTCTAATAAGATTGTATTTAAGGTAAATGTATTCATGGAATTATTGAGGAATGACTTCCGGGGGTCTTTCTTAAACATGTCATACAGTAGGTTGAACCTGCAGAAATTTATGCTCAATTGAGAAATCTCATAGGAAGCAGTAACCAATCAGGGCAAATAATAGTTTGAGAAAAGGAAGTTATCATGAAGTTTTTTGATGGCTTTGAAAGGAACTATGCAAAAATGTAAAAGTTGATACTTCAAAAATACATAGTACCAATTGACAGTCAAGAACATTTGTCCAGAATTTTAGGTGGGTTCTTAGCTAATGGAGGAGCTTCATAGAAAAGGTGGAAGGCAACACTGACAGCCTTCGGCCTTAGTGACATGCGTGAGTGGCATTGAGTGGCATGCAGGACTGTGGAACTGCATTGTCACTGTGTGAGAGAGGCCAGCTGGTGCTACAGGGCTAGAGGACCTGTCAGGTCACCTCCTCTAGGAAGAACAGACCATCTTTTAAGGCAGGTCTGTTTGAACTAGGATTATGTAATTAAGTCCATAGTGACAATAAAACATTTTCTGAGTTTTGAAATATATGTGTATTTCTGAAGTTTATTCATTCCACTAGTGATATTTACTGGTGCCCCGGGTGTGTCAGGTCCTGGTTGGCTCGAGGACCACCAGAAAAGACAGCAGATGTGATTCCTGACCTTATGAGGCTTCTCGTCTATCATGATGGGATTTATGTGGAAGGAAGAGATGATGAAGACCTGTAGTGTCAGTTGTTTTTTGACTTCTGAATGAGCTACAGTTTTCTTGCTCATTATTGGAGGCAAAAGAAAATAAGACCTTTTTTAAAAGTCTCACATAAAAACCAACATTCACAGTGTGAAAATTGTACATCACTGAGTTGTCATTTTATGCTTTAGGAGGCTCTGTGTGTGTGTGTGTGTGTGTGTGTGTGTGTGTGGTTATACTGTGATGTTAATACCTAACTTTTACATTGTAGTATCTTGTGTGTGTGTGTGTGTGAGAGAAGTAAAATAAAATATCTCTGCTTAGTAAAACTAGATGCAGGCAGAACTTATGAAAGGCAGGAGACCTAGGTTCGTTTCCTGGGTCAGGAAGATCCCCTGGAGAAGGAAATGGCGACCCACTCCAGTATTCTTGCCTAGAGAATCCCATGGACAGAGGAGCCTGGCAGGCTATGGTCCATGGGGTTGC